TATGTTACAGTAACATTGCAGTTATTATATTGTCAGTATGTAATAACACTCCAATTACAATATGTCACTATTAATTACAATTTGTATGAACATTGTCTCCACTCGGCGGTGCCTGCAGCCGCAGCGCTGCCCAGCTGTGCTCACAGTGCCATGTTTGCCTTGGCCCACCCTGACCCGTGGCTTATTTAAAAACAAGCTCAGCACACACTGTTAGCAAGTTCCACACTCGAAGCTTTTCTGGGGTGCAGGGAGAGGAGAAATAACGCCCTCCTTGCCACCKGTCMGAATKAACCAGGCTCCCCTCCAGTGTCCACGGGGTGAAGATCTCCTGGAGGCACTGCCTGGGCTTTGGCTGTTGGATGCTCTGTGCCCTAAAGGTGATGGACAAACCTGCTTTTAAGTCAAATCAAAGCAGAGCACAGTCTTTGGCCACCCCTTTGCCTTCCCCTGTGCGACCCCAGGGTCGGGGGCAAGAGTGGAGGGCATTTCCTCTCCAGCTCTGGCTGCCACTGCATTACACACAACATCAGCTGATGAATGTGACACTGAGAGAAGGAAGGCTCCACAAGCATCAACGATTTTTTTTAAGCAATAACTGTTCTTCCCAGCTYTTAACTGCCCATACACCGGGACTGAGGGATTTTGGCAGAGCTGGAAGGGCAGTGGGAGAGTGGCCAGGCAGGAGTGTGGTTGTTGAGCCAGCACCTCATCCCCAGCAGGTTATAGGATTTCCTTCCCTCCGTCCCTGGGCCACATAACTTTGAGGCTCAACCAGCTTAGGCAGTTTTCTGACCCAACAGACAAAGGATTTAGTGTCTGGAGAGGGCTCTGCAAACATGGGGAGTAGATGATAGGTGCCAAAATGCCTTTTCTGAGCCATTTACAGCCTCTCCGTGACTAGGGAGGTTCAAAAGTTACAAGCAACAATCATGTTTTGTCAAACAGATACAGGTTACTCAGGGTAACCTRCTCAAACCTGGAAAATAAACTGCTGAGGAAATGCTGGAAAAACGGGGGGGAATCAACCAGGCTGTGCTGACAGGGCTCAGTTTGGGCTGGATTACTTSTCCTTGATAGTGCTTAACAAGAAATAACTGTTTTGTTGGAGTGCTGATGTTGGATCTGGGTCAATTGCATGGCTGATGTCATCATTCCAAATAATTGGAATATTTTTGGAGTTAGCAGATAGACTGTGAGAGCTTCAAAGCCCCAAACAAGCAGAGTCTGTSTGCGAGCTCAATGGTTCAGTCATGATCTGCATTCAGATGACATGAGGGTCATTTGTGCCCTGAATTTCAGGAAGAAACCCYCCTGCCCTGACTTGGATCAATGCAGAGGGCAGTAGGGCTGAGAGCCTGCTCATTTTCACTCAATGCAAAGAGCAATGTSTCCATGGTGCTGGGCACCAGCTGGAACACACATCCGTGCCAGCTGCTTCCCAGAGTTAATCCCTGTGGTAAAGAATCAAAACTTTCATGAAGGCCTTGGCTGAGGCTCTCCAAATAATCCAGAACAGGGCTCCTCTCTCATGTCCCTGCCATTCCTGGAAGCTCCTGCTCAGACCCAGAATTGCAGTTTTYCCTCATCAGTTGGTATTTGTCTCTCTTTTTTCAGGCTCACTTCTGAAGTGTGAGAAGCGTCAGACGTATTCCCCCGTGCCATTCTTTGCTTCTCTTTCAGCTGCATTCKAAGATGTGCAATAAAATCCTGTTTGGATTTCAGATCACTCAGCAAAGGCTGCTCTCCACCCTCGGGAATGAGTAACTTCACTCAGTGTCTGAGTGATCAGTGACCTCACCTGGGCAGAGATGGGACATTCACACACCCTGGCACACCTTGTCACCAGTGCCAACTGCTGCTCTGGTGGCATCTGACAGTCCCCAASTGCTCAGGATTACAGGAATAACAATTGCCATTCACAGATCACCAGGGCCATCATTGCTGGTGGCCTGATCCMCAATTTGGGATTAATAAAAGCAAGGCAAAGTGAAATAATTTGTTTCCTTCACCATAYGGGCCATTAACAATCCAAATGTAGAATGTACAGTCAATAACAGATGAAGGAGGGGATTCTCACAGACTGTGAACTCCTATCCTGACATGCACAGCACAAGCTGAAGAAAAAGTACCTGAGCATCTCCTTAATATCAACCAATCACTCTTGTTTAGTTCAGCAGATCCATGAGAAAGGCTCCTTCACAGCACTGTGCAAACCCCATCCATACTCTAGACATGGCCTTACAGAAATTATGATGCCTCTATTGCAAATAACAAATAAAAGCTGGGCTTTGCTCTGGCTTTGGACTAATGCAGCACAACTTTCAGTCGAGTTTATTATCCCTGTGTTAAGTAGAAGCATGAGCCAAATACAATAAAATGAACCTCACCCTGATACCTGGAGTGACTCAGCTTATGTGKGTACTGCATGTACATTTGATTGAATTATGCACACAGCCATAACTACAGGAGGTTGACACAGCAGGCACCCAACACAAGGGAGAAAATCTCAGCTAAATTAAATTAATTATAGGTGTTAATATAGTTAATTGAGCTATGGAGGTTACTCAGAGTGCATGCTTGGTAGCATCAGGTTACACCTCGAGTCTTTTGAAGGTTTCTCCCCTCGGAGCTTGTGCAGCTCAGCAGGTTCCAGATCTGCCATGGAACACAAGTCCTGTTGTTGGCTGCCCTGGAAGGGTCTGGGGCTGCAGCTCAGCRCTGTCAGGAAGGAGCTGATGGTTCAGGTGGGCACAGCTGGCAAAGAGCACAGAGCCCATGTYTGTGCCAGCAGCCCTGA